CTAACATAAAGGGAATGGTAGTGAATTCGGACACACCTTTCGAGTCGTTTTTCGAGACGTCCAACGAAATGGTAAATAAATTGTATTCAAACATACATTGGAGCCAAAGGGGGAACTTTATGTCAGTGCCCACTGACTGTCCACAACGGGACGAGCGGTTGGGCTGGACGGGCGACGCGGAGATCTTCGCCCCGACGGCCGCTTATAACGCCGATGTGTCCGCCTTTTACACCAAATGGATGCGAGATATGAGGGACGGACAGTCCAAAGAGGGAGGCTTTCCAGATATAGCCCCCCGGATAGAGGATCCTCAAGATGGTGCTCCCGCTTGGGGTGACGCCGGGGTTATAGTGCCCTACACTGTGTACCGCATGTATGGAGACATTGAGATCATTGAAGATAATTACTCGGCTATGAAACGATGGATGGATTACATCGGATCCCAAAACCCTTCTTATATATGGACCAAACGAGTGAACAGTAATTATGGCGATTGGCTACAAGTGGGGGCCGACACGCCAAAGGAGGTGCTGTCGACCGCGTACTACGGCTACGACGCCCTCCTTATGGCAAAAATGGCGAAAGCAGTGAATCGTACGGAAGATCACAAGAAATACAGTGAATTGCATACAAATATCGGCAACGCTTTCGTCAAAGCATTTGTCAACACAACTGACGCCACAATCAAAGGCGACACTCAGACGGTGTATGTCATAGCCGTGGCCTTTGAATTGTTGCCACAAAACTTGATCCCATTAGCGGCCAACCATTTAGTGGACAATATTAAGGCTCACGACTGGCACCTGACCACCGGATTTGTTGGTCAGTATATTTTAATTATAAGTTAATTTTAAAATAATTAATTTTCTGGTAATTCTGTTAAATCAATGAGGTGTGGGCTACTTATGTCCAACACTCAGCCAATTGGGGCACTCGGATGTGGCCTACCGTTTGCTACTGCAGGACACATACCCCTCGTGGGGCTATAGTATCAAATACAACGCGACCACTATATGGGAGCGTTGGGATGGATGGACCAAAGAAAAGGGATTTCAAGACCCGAGTTCTTTCAATCATTACTCCTTGGGATCAGTCGGTCGATGGCTCTTCCAATCGGTGGCCGGTATTGACACTCATGAGGAAGGGGTGGGATTCAAGAGTATAGTAATCGCACCCAAACCCGGCGGTAATCTTCAGAAAATGACGGCCCGGTATGCGTCCATTCATGGATTAATCGGGTCGAGTTGGGAGACTAACGGCGCTAACATTACTTTAACAGTGATTTTAATTTTGTTAAACTTTTTGTTATTTTTCTAATTAATATTTTTTATTTAATAATAGATTGATATTCCGGTCAATACGAAAGCATTGATTGATTTATCATTTCTGAAGCAACCCCTTCACACAACTGTGGGCTCCGGTAGGTATGTCTATGAGGGGGAGCTGACACAACCATTCACTCAAATATTGGACTCAAATTGAAATTAAAGTTTTCAAAAGATTTTCAATACAAATATTACCAAATATTAATAAAATGCTTAAAACTATAATTCTTATATCTATGGGCAACGCCTGTGTAAACTAACATGTAGCAAGTTACAATATGAATTTATAAGTTTAACAAATAGAATTTTATTTTTTATAATTATACAAAATTACAAATGAACATAACATATAACATAGGAATTTAATTGAATAATTCATACCAAATAACGAGCAAAGTTTTTACTTGTGATCCACTTAGCAATCAATTGCATTATTCATCGCTGACTTTGGCTCACAATTGAAAGCACCAGAAAATTCTCTGATGTTTGATAAAACCAAATTCACTCTGGGTGACACAATTTTTAGTGTTATTTATTTTTCAAATAAAATTTTAATACAGTATTACCTATATTTCATCATATCATATGAATTATTATCTTGGTAATCAAGGCGATCGTTATAATAAGTATTGACTGCAGAGATCCAGAATAATTGCTCCGAAGTGTGGTTGAGTCCAATTAAACCTAATTGTGGGCCCATTTGTTTGGTGTGAGCCCTGTATGCCATCAGTGTTTGCTTAAGAAGTGTCATATCTGTGATGTACTTCTCAATCAATTTATAACGATCTGATAAATGCATTCCAGTTGTCATGTCATCAAAATGTTTGATTTTCTTATGGAAACACTTTATTCTTGTATCAAAACCATTGTCTGATACGGTGTCCCACCACTTCCCATACACACCATTTTCATCGTATAGACGCCCGACTTCACTCAATATATTGAGCATCTGTTCACTTATTAATACACCAAACGATCCAAAATTCAGTGACCTTTTAATAAAAATAATAATTTATAAATTTATTAAATCAATAAAATATAATTCAATTGACTATGAAGTGTATTATTTAGCGAATTTCTAAATCTAATAATTTTTTGTCTCCTAAACTGATGTACTAAAAGCAATTCAGACTAATTGTTATTCTATACCAGTTTTACATGCAACACTTAATTGAGATTTTTGTGTGATTTGATAAAAAAAAGTAATACATCGGCACATCTTCTCTGTATAAGCCGTCGATTATGAGATTAGATATTAATAAAGTGTTGTCTTCGCCTCTGTATTTGATGATAATGTCAGCGGGATNATGATTAATGACATTAAGGAATCATTCATTGAAATCGTTGACAAATATAAATGGATGAGCGATGGAGTGAAGTCCAAAGCAAATGAAAAAATAAAATTAATGAAATTGGGAATAGGATTTCCACAGGATGTGCGGGATGACAACCAAATGGACAATTGGCTCACTGTATGTCATACTGTCTTATGTTTTGACTTATTTGTGTAATAATTTCATTGAAACTTCAGTACTTCTATGATTGAATTTTGATAACTTTGAAAATATTAACATTAATTATTTTAACTGTATTTTTGTAATGTTAGACCGAGATCTCCAGAAAAGACTATTTTGAGAATACTTTACGATTAAATCGATTCTCTGTTGACAAACAAATGGAAAAATTATTTATTAATAAAATTAATAATAACATAAATGTGTAAGTTGCTCAATACACTGTTTATGAATACGAATTTGCATCAATTAATCTTAATTCTAAATATATAAAATATTTATCATAAATTCTGTTTACCATTTTATTTAGCATATTTTATACCACTAGTATTTTGTTTCAACAGAATTTTATAATAAATATTTTATATTATGGTTATTAAATCATTTATAACGAAAATTTCGTCATTATTGTAGTTAATTCTCATAAAATTGAACAATAATAATCTTTGTTTAAACTATTATAATATTAACTGAAAATACATGTATATTAATATTTATACTATAAACACATTTACAGGAATCTAGAAAGAGGTGTAAATCCCGCTGACATTATCATCAAATACAGAGGCGAAGACAACACTTTATTAATATCTAATCTCATAATCAACGGCTTATACAGGGAAGATGTGCCGATGTATTACTTTTTTTTATCAAATCACACAAAAATCTCAATTAAGTGTTGCATGTCAAAACTGGTATAGAATAACAATTAGTCTGAATTGCTTTTAGTACATCAGTTTAGGAGACAAACAAATTATTAGATTTAGAAATTCGCTAAATAATACACTTCATAGTCAATTGAATTATATTTTATTGATTTTGCAAATTTATAAATTATTATTTTTATTAAAAGGTCACTGAATTTTGGATCGTTTGGTGTATTAATAAGTGAACAGATGCTCAATATATTGAGTGAAGTCGGGCGTCTATACGATGAAAATGGTGTGTAT